TGCCTCACTTGCTCACTTCTTGACCTTGCTTGTACTGTCACATATATATACTCTTGCTCTTCCTTGCTTAGCCTCTTGTATATATTTTTGTGATCTTGCATGTGAACTGGCCTTTTTGGCCTTTGAACTTGTGCTCGGAATGTGTGGTGACTTTGTGATCCACCCTGAGATTTGCTTTGCTTTGCTTGACTGGTCTTGTGACCCCTTGTTCTCCCCCACTTTGCCTATGGGGGTGTGTCAGAACATTATAGCTTATATATATTTGTGTAGGCTATAGTGGGGTATCCCATAGGGGGTACAACCCAATCAAGGTTTCCTATATGTACTCACTCCATTCATAGTTGATTCATTCTCGTTCTATTCTTCTCACCCGTCGCCACCCGCAGCGGGCCCGTTGCCGCCCGCAGCGACCCCGTCACCGCGCGCAGCGGCCCCGTCGCCGCCCGCAGCGACCCCGTCCCCGCCCGCATCGGCCGCGCCGTCGCCGCGCGCAGCGGACCCGTCGCCGCCCGCAGCGACCCCGTCGCCGCCCTTGCACGGCCCCGGCCCCGCCCCGGCCATTTCCCGTCGTCCGTCGAGGTGACCCTCGGGGGAGGGGGGCGGGCGCCGCCCCTTCTGCCACCTGTTGTGGCGCCCTGGGAGGCCGCGTATCGGTCCCCCCCTCTCCCCCCGTAACCTCCCTACCGCCATCCTGCCCTGCCCTATTTTAGGCTTTGGGGGTGGCGAGTGGGGGGTGGCGGGTGTGTGGTCTCCCCTGCTCCTCCTCCTCCTCTGTCTCCCACTGCTGCAGTTGCCGCTGAGGGGGGTGGGTGTGTGGGAGTCGACGGAGTCGTGCTAGGGGGTGGGGTGTGAGTGACCCGAGGGGTGCAGTAGGGGGTGTGTGTCAGGGGGGGTGGGATAGTCTGGGGAAGTTGAATGGAGGTTGCCGTCGTGTCGCCAGCAGCACCTGTATTCCGGGGACTTCGTCCGGTAGCCCAGTCGTAGCCAGCTGTGCCAGCCGCCCGTGGGTCCGTTGCTTGTCTGCCGCTACTTTTAGCCGCGGGACCAGTTACTCCAGTAGTCCGGAGCGTTGTTCCGGTAGCCGCTGTGCCAGTGTGCCTCCTGTTGCCCGTGTGTCTGCAGCTTCAGTCGTCGCCTCCTATCTCCTCTCCTCTTACAGTCTCGCCTCCTCCTCCTCACTTGCCCTCTGCTATAGCCTCTAGCTTTGCTTACACTTATGAACTTTAAACTGTTGCTTCTTGAACTTGTGTTCAGAATGTGTGGTGTCATTGTGATCCACCCTGAGCTTGTTCTGCTTTGCTTGCTCTGCTGATTACACCCCACTTTGGCTATGGGGGTGTGTCAGAATGTTATGCTCTAGCCTGTAGTGGGGTGCTCTATAGCGAGTACAACCCTTCTAGGGTTTGCTATTTGAATCCCCATTCTTGCTAGTTCAACCCTCTTCTCTCTTCTAAAGTTTCACAAACCGTCTCCTGTTCGCGGGCCACTCTAAAGCCAAGTGAAAGAGTATGCACAGCGTCATTGCGGACGACCATCTAAGGCTAAAGAGCCTGTACCACCAGAAAAAATCTACGATATCTGCGACATATATTTTTCGTCATCCGACCCGGCCACATTCCAGCGGGGGCTGATCCCTCTTCTCATGTTTTCGGCCTTCTTACGCTTCTCTGACCTGATTTCCCTCCAGTGGCATCAGATTGAGTTTGACAGGGACTGCATGTGGCTATTTATTCCTCGCTCCAAGACGGACCAAGCCAGGAGAGGTGCTTGGGTCCCAGTGGCAGCATCCTCTGCCCGCCACTGCCCTGTCTCTCGTGTCCAGCAGTTTCTTTTCCTCGCGGGCTACTCTCAAGATTCTACCGGCCCTCTTATCCGCGTGTTCCAACCGGGTGCCGGGGCTTCCCCTTCCGACCGTTCCCCTTCGTATGCTACCGTGCGGGGCTGGTGCCGCGATGGCTTTGCCCGCGTCGGCCTTAACCCGGATCTCCTCGGCACTCATTCCTTCCGTAAATCGGCGGCAACTGTAGCTGTCGACGTCGGAGTGCTGGACAGACTCTTCAAAGCCCTTGGTCGGTGGCGTAGTGATAGGGCTAAGGAGCTATATATTACACAGCTCGATCGCGAGCTTGTCAATGCCTCTCGCGTACTACAGGACCCTCTCCGATCTAGCCCGGCCGATCGGTACTTGACCACATTCGAGAGGGGTCACCGCCGACCTCTCCCTTGATGTCTCGTTCGACCTATGACGACTTCACTGCACACTCCTCTGAAAGTCGTGTCACAATATGATAAGTTTTTTGTAACAAAAAAAATTACAGATTGTGGTTCGACTTGAAGAGGGGTTTGCTGTAAAGGAGACATTCTCCTTTACCTTTCAGCAGGTCCTCGGGACCTACCACCTAGTCTCATTTGCAGTTTTCACTTCTCTAGTTCCCACCCTCCTCTCCCTTGTACAATGGATCGCTTGTGCGTATCTTGTTCCCGTTTAGAACACCATATGTATTCCATATTATCGAGTGTGCTGGATACTTGAGATGTGAAATGCTATGACGACTGCACTGCACACTCCTCTGAAAGTCGTGTCACAATATGAGACATACCGAAACATGTTGTTTAACATGCTATGCAAGAACGGACACTATACTAAAAGATGCATCCAAAACAGACAGAACGGAATGAAAGCGAAATATGCAAGACTAAGGGAGTACAAAAACGGATTGGGAGAAAAAGAAGCTGTGAAGGAAAGGAACTTACAGAGAACGGAACCAAACAGACATATAGGTTACATGACGGATGATATACGACGATAAAGATTGGAAGAGAAAAAAGGAGTAGGTACATACGAAAGAAAGGAACGAAGGAAGAAATGAATGACAGGGACAAGTACAGCATAAACTAGTAGCCAGATCAGAAAGTACAAGAATAGCATCCAATAATAAGACCCATATGAAGCAATTTCTAGGAGGAAAATTTACATTTGACGTGCTTAGGCTTCTAAATACGCCATAAGAGCAAGATCTATCGAACTATATCATGGGTCGTTGACAACTAAAAGACAATCACATGCTCAGCTTAGTTTAGCCTAAAGATGACAGGAAATGCTTAAAACTTTAGTAAGAGCTTAGAACATAAGGACGCGATTACGACTAGAATACGCGATTACGGTTAGACTAGCTTGTAACTACTATCTTAGTTTTCCTTAATAGCCTTGGGTTCTGACATGTTAGTGGTAGGTACCGTCATCACCCGGATATAAGACAGTGTTGAATAGTAGACTGGGGTTGTCTACTATACGGGTGTCTCTTATAAACAGGCTAGCTGTCAGAACATTATAGCTTATGCTTTTGTGTAGGCTGTAGTGGGGTAGCCCATATGGGGTACAACCCAATTAGGGTTAGTACTTGTACCCAACTCTTTCATAGTTCAATCATTCTCGTTTCTTCTCATGGTTTCACAACAGGTTCCCTTGTGGGAACGCTACCTAGGGCCCACCACGATTTTTTTTCCTGCCCGGAGCGCGCCTCAGACTAGACCGAGTCGCGCGCGCCCCGTGTGCCCTCCCTACCATCGCGCCGCCCTTTGTGGCCTCTCGCGCTGCCCGTCGACCCCACGCGCCGCTTTAGCGGCCCCTCCTTGCGCCACCCGTCGACCCCGCGCGCCGCCTTAGCGGCTCCTTGCGCCGCCCGTCGACCCCGCGCGCCGCCCTAGCGGCCCCCTGCGCCGCCCGTCGACCCCGCCCGCCGCCCTAGCGCCCCCCCCTGCGCCGCCCGTCGACCCCGCGCGCCGCCCTAGTGGCGCCTTACGCCACCCGTCGACCCCGCGCGCCGCCCTTGCGGCCTCGCCGCCCTTACCTGCGGCCCCACCGCCCTCACCTGCGGTCCCCGCCGCCCTTCCCTGCGGTCCCCGCCGCCCTCACCTACGGCCTCGCCGCCCTCCTCTGCGGCCTCGCCGCCCTTACCTGCGGCCTCGCCACCCTCAACTACGGCCTCGCCGCCCTTACCTGCGGCCCAGCCGCCTTCCCTGCGGCCCTGTCACCTGCTGCAGCGCCGCCCGCCACCTGAGCCGCCCGGGCCGCCTCACCTCGCCGAGCAGCCGATTGCCGCGCCGCCCTGCAGCAGCACGACCAAGTCGCCCAGCAGCTGAGCAGCCAAGTAGCCGAGCCGCCCAGCAGCCGAGCAGCCGAGCCGCCCTGCAGCCGAGCCGCCCAGCAACCGAGCAGCCGAGCCGCCCTGCAGCCGAGCCGCCGTGCAGCCGAGCCGCCGAGCCGCCCTACCTCCGAGCCGTCCGAGCAGCCCCGTCCGGTGAGCACAGTGCCTCTTTCATTGCACTGCCCTCATCCTACTGTTGCACTCCTAGTCTACTGTGGTATTGGCTACCCCTAGTGTCCTCGCTTTTGACGCTGAGGGTAGAGCCATTGACTTTGACGTTTGGGTAGATGACCTGCAGCTGTTTTTACAGTGCGATAGGGCGGACGGTCTCTCAATCTTTGATCTCACCTCTGGCGCCTCTCCTGCCCCTGCTGCTGATGCCGACGCCACTGTTCGCTCCCAGTGGGCCACGCGCGATGCTACTGCACGTCTTGCGGTACGCCGCCACCTCCCTACATCCGAGCGTGCGCACTTTAGTCAGTACAAGAGTGCTCAGACCTTGTACGACGCTGTAGTTGCGCGCTACTCCTCCCCTGCCACTGCTGCACTGAGCCGTCTCATGCTACCGTACCTCTTCCCCGACCTTGCTGCCTTTCCCACAGTCGCTGACCTCATTACGCACCTCCGCACTAGTGACACTCGCTACCGCGCTGCGCTTCCTGCTGACTTCTGCGCCAAGAACCCCCCCCCCCCATGTACATCACTCTCTACTACATAGTCACTCGCCTCCCTGACTCCCTTCGAGCAGTCAGGGACCACTTCCTCTCAGTCTGTCCCACCACTCTCACTGTTGACCTCCTCGAGAAGTCCTCCTAGCGGCCAAGAAGAGCATAGTCGCTGTAGGGGCCTCTCATGGTGACCCGCGCACCCCCATCTTTGAGGGGTGTTCCCCCTCCCCCCTTCTGCCCTCTGTTGCCTCTGCTGCTGCGGCCAACCTCCTTGCTCTTGAGTCGGTCGGTGCGGCGTCTGCCCCTAGCGGGAGACGCCGCCCAGGCAAGGGCAAGGGGAGCAGGGGCACTGGAGGAGCGAGCGGGGGCGGTGGAGGTGGAGGTGGAGGCGGCGGGGGGAGTGGGGGTGGCGGTGGGAGTGGAGGTGGGGGTGGAGGTGTCGGTGGCGGCAGTGGAGGAGGAGGCGGCGGCGGCGGCGGCGGTGGCGGTGGGAGCGGAGGTGGCGGAGGTGGCGGCAGTGGAGGCGGCGGTAGTAACGGAGGCGGCGGAGGCGGCGGGGGTGGCGGTGGAGCTGGTCGCGGGTCTACGCAGAGGAGTGGCTCCGGTGGTGGTCCGCGCCAGCAGCAGCAGCGCGGTCGTGAGACCCTGTCCCCTCAGCAGCTCCGTGAGTGGTACACTGCACGCCAGCGGGGTGGGGATTTTGGTCCGAGCACCTACGTCCTGCGCACCGGCGACCGTGCGGGTGAGCAGTGTGGGGGTGCGCACCCCACCCAGCGCTGCTTTGGCCGCCTGACGAACGCGTGGCATCACCAGTTCCCAGAGGCCACAGAGATCCCTCGCTGGGGCGAGGTGTCTAGGACGGGTGTTGCCATTTATGATCTTGATTTTGATGCTATTCTTTCTGCCATGTATGCTGTGTCTATTAGTGATGAGGGTGACTGTTACCGGTGTTTCCCCCCCGATCCGGGCATTGAGACTGCTGCTCTAGGTACTGGTGAGGCGGCTGCCCTAGGTGCTTGCGACACTGCTGCTCTAGGTGCTAGTGTGTCTGCGTCCTCAGGTACTGGTGAGTCTGCGCTCTCAGGTACTACGTCGGCTTCGGCCTCCCTCACCTTCACCCTTGACTCTGGGGCTTCATGCTCCTTCTTTCTGGACCGCACCACACTCACGCCGCTTAGTCGGCCGGTTGCGGTGTCTCTGGCTGACCCCTCTGGGGGTCCTGTCCTGTCTCACTTCTCCACAGTCCTCCCGTGTCCTGCGGCTCCCTCTGGCACCCTGTCTGGTCTTTACCTCCCCTCGTTCTCTACGAACCTGGTGAGTGGTGCTGACCTACAGGATGGGGGAGTCCACCAGTTCACTCCTGCGCGTCAGCGGGTGACGCACTGCACAGAGGCCAGCACAGGCCAACACCTGGCTATGTTTACTCGTCAGCCGGGGTCGAGCCTGTACACACTGACCACTGCGTCTCCTCCTGTTGCTGAGTCTGGTAGGGTAGCTGCGTCGGGTAAGGTGTTTGCTGCAGCGTCCAGGTCTGGTCCTGAGTCTGCCCCCTGTTCGTGTCGTCTCCTGTCTCACGAGACTCTCCTCTGGCACCACCGCCTTGGTCACCCCTTTCTGCTTCAGCTCAGAGGCATGGCCTCCCGTCTTCTTGTTTCTGGTCTACCCCGGTCCCTCCCTCCCCCTCCTCAGGGCCCTGGCCCTACCTGTGTCCCCTGTGTCGAGGGGCGCCAGCGGGCTGCCCCTCACTCCTCCCAGTTTCCTCCGACAGAGGCCCCGTTGCAGACGCTTCGAATGGACGTGTGGGGCCCAGCCCGCGTCCGTGGAAAGGGTCACGAGCGCTACTTCCTGCTCGTTGTTGACGACTACTCGCGTTACACCGCAGTCTTCCCCTTGCGCAGCAAGGGTGATGTCACTGAGGTGCTGCTCGACTGGATCCGCGCAGCTCGTCTCCAGCTCAGGCAGAGCTTTGGCTCGGACTTTCCTGTTCTGTATCTGCACTCGGACAGAGGCGGAGAGTTTTCCTCTGGCCTTTTGAGAGCCTACTGCCGCGCACGAGGCATCCGTCAGACCTTCACGCTTCCGGACTCTCCGCAGCAAAATGGGATCGCTGAGCGCCGCATTGGCATGGTCATGGACGTCGCTCGTACGTCTACGATGCATGCGGCTGCTCCCCATTTTCTGTGGCCGATTGCGGTGAGGTACGCGGCGCATCAGATCAACCTACACCCCAGGGTCTCCAGGCCGGAGACCTCCCCAGCCCTGCTGTGGACAGGAAAGGTTGGCGATGCGTCGGCGTTCCGGGTCTGGGGATCTCGGGCGTTTGTCCGCGACTTGTCTGCGGACAAGCTGTCCCCTCGTGCTGCTCCTTGCGTCTTCCTGGGGTTCCCCCCCGACGCGCCTGAGTGGCAATTCTACCATCCCACCTCTCGCCGTGTTCTGTCCTCCCAGGACGTCACGTTTGACGAGTCGGTCCCCTACTACCGCCTCTTCCCCTACCGCACTCCGTCCCTCCCCCTGCCGCCGCTCTTCCTTGTTCCAGATCCCCCTCCGGTAGACCCCCTCCCCCCTCAAAGTCTGTCCCCTTCAGGTGTGTCCCACGTAGACGCAGTCGAGCTTGTCGAGGTCACTGGTGACTCTGGTGCTGCTGAGGGTGCTGAGCCTGGGGGTGCTGGGCCTGGGGATGCTGAGCCTGGGGGTGCTGAGCCTGGGGGTGCTGAGCCTGGGAGTGCTTTGCCTGGGGGTGCTACATCTGGTGGTACTGAGCCTGGGGGTGCTGAGCTTGGAGGTGCTCCGCCTGGAGGTTCTCCAGGGGCTTCGTCTCTACAGGAGCCACTCTCTCCATAGAAGCTGCGCGAGTGGTTTGCCCGACGCTGAGTGGGAGGCGTGCTGCTGGTACTAGAGGTTCTTCGGCTACTGAGGGTGCTGCTGTCGCGGGTCCCAGAGGTGCTCGTACTGGGAGTACTGGAGCTGCTGGGTCTGCGGGTTCGACTGGAGCTGGTGCTGCTGAGGGTGTTGGCGCTGAGACTACTATTGGCGGTCCTACTGCGGGTACTCCTGGTGCTGCTGGAGGTTCTGGAGCTGCTGGAGGTGCAGCTGGAGCGGGTGCTCCTGCTGAGGGAACTGGTGCTGTCCCTGCTCTGTCTGGCGTCACCGCGCGGCCTCGACCGTACTTTGTTCCACTCCTGAAGCAGGTTCTAGGTCTTCCGCCTTCTACAGGTCCTCCTCCTTCGTTAGAGTGTCCACAGCCTGTCCAGTCACAGTTACAATTGCAGCCTACCTCCCCTTTGCCTGCTCCTTCTCCCTACTCTGGTCCTACTGGAGGTCTTGCTGAGCGTCGTGAGCCTGCGTCTCGCCCTGCGTCGCCTGTCCGTGCTGGACGCGCTAGTGGTCGTGGTTTGCGTCAGCGTTCTCCTTCTGTCCCTGGCACGCACAGGATGTCTCTGCGTCCGTCCACTGCTCCTCTGCGTGCCCCTTTGCCTTCTCCTCCTGAGTCCTCTCTTCCTGCTCTTGCCGACCCGGAGTCAGACTCTCTTCGTGCTGCCAGTCCTACTGTCACGCGTCTCTTGGCTACTGTCCTCACTGACCCTTCTTACGAGTCCACTGCTGCGTCTTCCCTAGTTGCTGAGCTCGTCGAATTTGCTGCTCGCTGTCGCCTAGACTACACTGCTAGTCTTGTCGCTGAGTCCGAGTCTGTCGGTCCTCCGTCTGTCGGGGGTGAGTGCGCCCTTGGCACGGACGTCCTCGAGGACAGATAGGAGGAGTTCCAGTGTCTGGCAGCTGCTTCACCTCATCTCGTGTCCGTACTGCTTACCCCTGAGGGAGACCCGGTTGCACTTGACATCCCGACTTCGCGCTCTTACGCGGAGGCGATAGAGGGTCCCTACTCCTCTCAGTGGCAGGCAGCTATGGACACAGAGATGGCTTCCTGGAAGTCCACAGGCACCTACGTTGACGAGGTTCCCCCGCCTGGGGCGAACATCGTCAGTGGCATGTGGATCTTCAGGGTGAAGCGGCCGCCGGGTTCTCCGCCTGTCTTCAAGGCACGTTACGTGGCTCGTGGCTTCAGTCAGCGGCAGGGAGTTGACTACTTTCAGACCTTCTCTCCCACCCCGAAGATGACCACTCTTCGGGTACTGCTGCACGTTGCTGCTCACCGTGACTACGAGCTGCACTCTCTCGACTTCAGCACTGCTTTCTTGCAGGGCATCCTGCACGAGGAGATCTGACTGCGCCGCCCACCTAGCTTCACTGGGTCTTTCCCTCGTGGTACCCAGTGGAGTCTCCGGCGTCCAGTCTACGGTCTTCGCCAGGCGCCACGTGAGTGGCACGACACACTGAGGACTACACTGGCGGCTCTTGGGTTTGCTCCTTCTACTGCCGACGCGTCGCTGTTTCTGCGCACCGGCACCTCTCTGCCACCGTTCTACATCCTCGTGTACGTCGACGACTTGGTCTTTGCCACAGCTGACACTGCTGGACTCGCCTACGTGAAGTTCGAGCTGCAGAACAGACACACGTGCACTGACCTGGGTGAACTGCGCAGCTACCTTGGCTTGCAGATCACCCGGGACAGAGCACGCCGCACCATTACCCTGACTCAGTCACACATGGTGCAGCAGGTCCTTCAGCGCTTCGGCTTCACGTACTCCTCGCCTCAGGCCACTCCTCTGCCTACCCGCCACTCGCTCTCAGCTCTGCCTTCGGATGAGTCCGTAGAGTCGAGTGGCCCGTATCCAGAGCTTGTTGGCTGCCTCATGTACTTGATGACCTGCACACGACCTGACCTTGCATACCCTCTTAGCATTCTCGCACGCTATGTTGCTCCTGGGAGACACCGACCAGAGCACATGGCTGCAGCGAAGAGGGTGTTGCGCTACTTGTGCAGTACGTCGGGCATGGGGCTAGTGCTTGGAGGGCGCAGTCCAGTGGTCCTCACTAGGCACGCAGACGCTTCTTGGGCTGACGACCAGGCTACGCAGCGGTCCTCACAGGGTTACACCTTCAGCCTTGGTTCCGGCTCTGTTTCGTCTTCTGTTCTCGGCTCCAGTTGTGAGGCTGAGATCTACGCAGGGGCCATGGCTGCACAGGAGCTTCGCTGGCTCACCTACCTGCTGACTGACCTCGGAGAGACGCCTCGTTCTCCTCCAGTGCTGTACGTAGACAACAAGGCCATGCTGGCCTTGTGTCGAGAGCAGCAACTGGAGCACAGAACAAAGCAAATTGCTCTCCGCTACTTCCTTGCTCGTGAGCTACAGCAGTGTGGACAGTTACGGCTTGCGTATGTGGCCTCTGAGGCCAACACTGCTGATGTTTTCACCAAGGTACTTTTGCCTTGTGATCATCAGCGCTTCTGCACTCAGCTGGGTCTTGTCCCTGTCTTGCCTCACTTGCTCACCTCTTGACCTTGGTTGTACTGTTACATATATATATACCTGCTCTTGCTTGTCTAGCCTTATATATATATGTACTCCTGCATGTGAATTGGCCTTGTGGCCTTGAACTTGTGCTCGGAATGTGTGGTGACGTTGTGATCCACCCTAAGCTTGCTTTGCTTTGCTTTGCTTGACTGGTCTTGTGACCCCTTGTTCTCCCCCACTTTGCCTATGAGGGTGTGTCAAAACATTATAGCTTATGCTTTTGTGTAGGCTGTAGTGGGGTAGCCCATATGGGGTACAACCCAATTAGGGTTAGTACTTGTACCCAACTCTTTCATAGTTCTATCATTCTCGTTTCTTCTCACTAGCCTCATTATAAGACACCTATTTGAGTGTATGAGATAAGACATATATGTCTTATCGAAACTTCAATAAATTATAGCGAAAGTTGAAGTACCGCGTACTTTTTTACCCTTGCGAAG